AAATATCATTAGGCCTTTGTAATCACCGCACGACGCGCGACTAACATGGCAACTAACACGCGCGTGGGTAAATCGTCACGTACGCTGACGGTTTTTGGTCTGGTTGCTATGGTTTTTGTGACGTTCAGTGTGTAGAAACGCACGTGCGCCTAGAATGTCGATGCCAGAGTTATAACCTTTGATGTCCCGAGATGTGCGTCCTTTTGTTGAATTACCTTGCTCTAACTTATTTTTCGCCATATTTCACAAACATGGCCTTAGATTAACAGTTATCCCTTCCCATTTGAAGTTATCTGCACTCAAAGTAGACGCTTTGTTTAACGATGCAATTTTTTTTGGTGATATTCGAGGTCAACCTGCGTCCATATAAGTGGGTATACCCCTCATATTACAGATATATTATCTATGTGTACTTGTCTCTAGCCACATGCAAGCGCAGGCTGATCAAATCAATTAAAATTGAATGGCATATATTCAAAGTTGGGACCAGATCTATAAAGAGGAAAACGCCTATATTTCTCAACAACGGATCGTCATTGTGGACAGTTAAAATCTTTTCTTAAATTTATCCCAGTTAATCAGATATATTAGATCTACCTATAAACCAAATTACAGCTTTGGTACTCAGCTCCTTTATGGATAGATACTATGTTGAAAACTACACATATTTTAACACAATCAGAAATCACGAAAGTTTTTAAGGGTTTAGTCATTCTATGCCAACTCAAAATGCATTACACCATGGGTGCCAAAAAATATAAAAAAAATCTATGACTTATGGTGTAACGCATTTGTTGAGTTGGCACGGAATGACCCAACTTTTAAGAACTTTTGTGATTTCCTATGATGTTGAAATATATGTTTTCAACATAGTATCTAGTCAGGAGCTATGTACCAAATCAAAAATTTGGTTTATATGTAGATCTAATGTATCTGATCAACTGGGTGGGGTAAATTTAAGAAAAGATTTTAACTGTCCACGTGACGATCCGTTGAGAAATATTGGCGTTTTTCACTTTTATAGATCTGGTCCCAACTTTGAATATATGCCATTCAATTTTAATTGATTTGATTAGCCTGCCCTTGCATGTGTATATACACACTCATATGGACGCAGAGTGACCTTGAAAATCACAAAAAAATTTGCATCGTTAAACAAAGCGGCTAATTTGAGTGCAGACTCAAAACTTCAAAAGGGAAGGGATAACTGTTAATCTAAGGCCATATTTGTGAAATATGGCGAAAAATAAGTTAGAGTACCAAGTTTGACCTTGAAAGCTATTACCAGGTTAGATTTAATGCTTGAAAAAATTTCCTGAGGGCCTGCAAGGCCGGAAGGAAATTTTTGAATTAAATCTAACCTATCCATGCTCTACTAATTGCTTTATAAGTCACCGTCTTTTAATTTTAGTTTTTGATAACCAACTATTGTAGCAGTCATCGGTTGCTACAGTGATATGATCAGTATACTGCGTTATTTACATTTAGCTATGCGTATGCTGATTTTTGCTCCTGCAGTACGCGTTAACTACACATCAGCAGTACAGTAGGCCTACTAACTGTAGGAGCACAAATCAGCATACGCACAAAATATAAATACGCACACAGTAATGATCATATCACTATAGCAATCGATGACTGGTACAACACAGTTGGTTATAAAAACTAACATTAGAAGACGGCAATTGACTTATAAAGCAATTAGTAGAGTATGAATCGTACAGTAGCGGAAAATTATTATACTTAGGTTAGATTTAATGCATTCAAAAATTTCTTCAAGCATTAAATCTAACCTTCGTATAATAATTTTCCTATAGTGTACTATGCAGAGCTCTACTAATTGCTTACTAGTCTCCCTTGACAGCGAGAGATCCTGGCCTTTAATTTCAATTTAATTTTTAAACAATGATAAGGAACCTTTTGTTGATAGGCTACACAGTAAGCCTGATACAATATTTTTTACATCAATGTTTACAGTGTATTTATTCTGTTTCTACCATTATATGAATATTTATGTATGCATATATATAGGCCAACATGTGTGTGTGTCGTTTCTCTTATATACCATTTTTTTATTTTTCTAAAAATATAATGTATGTATCGATATCATTTTTCACTACAGGTTCCGTTACCTGCCCAACGGAGAATGATGTCAACATATTTACATTCAGTCGTAAAGTTGGCATATATGTCCAGTCACCTAAATCACCATATTATCGAAATGGGGCAGACATGCGCATTGACGATTTAAAACGTGTTTTTTCTGTATATGTTAAAATTACGGTTCGTGGCGGAGATGGCAAAGTAAGAAGCGAAATTTCACATTTTTTAAAATAATTTGTAATATTTAGGCTTACTGAGTTGCAAATCTGTAGGTCTAACGAAACGGTGGAGGCGCCAGGATTTTCCCGACACCGAGGGTCCAATGCCCACGTCAGAAAAGCCGTTTTCCCCAACTGCAGCCTAAGTAAACGGGACAACCATGAGGAACAGCCCAGATTCCTCGGATGGGTCCATGGCACGACAATGAGGAATTGAAAGGCTTGCCTTCCCCCAGAGCCATAGATAGAAAGAGTTGCGACATTGAGAATTTAGAAGCCATTTTGTTTCATACGCGATGCGCGTTCTGTGTCTAACGTGATGTGCGTTCCTGTGTATAACATTGTATAAATACAGTTAACAGCCTCCTGTATAGCTGTCTCTATATATATATACAGTATATACATATACATATATATATACATTATAACATATATACATACTTTTATAAATACATATATATATACTTATATATGTATATATATAAGTATGTATATATGTTATAATGTATATATGTATGTGTATATATATAAATATTATATATATATATTTTATATATACATACATATATGCATTATAACATATATACATACTTATATATATACATATATATACATATATACATACTTATATATACACATATATACATACTTATATATATATACACACATATATACATACATATATATAATTATATACATACATATATACATACTTATATATCTACATATATATATACACACAAAAATATATACATACTTATATATATACACATATATATACACATACATACATATACATATACATACTTATATATACGTATATATATACATACTTATATATATATACATATATACACATACATATATACTTATATAGGCCTATATATATACTATATACACTTATATTCTTATATACTTAATTTGAATAATTTTTTTTTCTGCATATTTTTTTAAATTCTGAAACATTTAGGGGAGGCACAGGCCGTCTGGGCCCCTTGAATCCGCCACTGCTAACCCTTATGCTAATGTGTTTTTTATTTGACAAATTTAAGTTTTGTTTAGCAATATTTTCTATTTGGTTTACCCTTATCTACACTAACATGTTATGGTTTATTTCACGAAGTTTCGTTGGAAGTATCTTATTGTAAACCTAATTACGAGTATGATAAATGATTTGTAGTGGGCTGTTATTTTTAGCTCAGCTGGATGTATCTTTCGAAACCGTGAATCTTGAAACGACAGCATTTTGGAAACTGCAACCATCTCCTGAAGTTGATGTATTCTACTCAGTCAACTACACCAAAGATGGGTACAGTTACTTATCACTTTTTATTTTATATTATTATAACTGTATTATTATTTGTCGTCGTCGTTGTTGTTGTTGTTGTTATATTATTATTATCAGACCGTATTCTACTTTCACAAATATTTATTTTTTCTGCGTTAATAATCATTTACTTTATTTTACATTATTTTTGTGTGATGCTATATAGCAAGCAATGGACATCTCCTCCAGAATGTCAGAACGTCATCAATACCTTTTGTGTTCTTGGCGTGTTTGACAACAGTCGTACTTTTTCAAGCGAAGTGGATTTGTTGACTGATTGGACAGTTTGTGTTACAGCAATGATAGGTAGTGAAATGATAAAAGCCGATAGTTGCAAAACAACAAATCAGAAATTTGATGGTAAGTGTAAACAATATGTCAGATTCCTTGCGTTTACTTTCTATTTAGTATAGCTATGCTACAGTTCTCACATGTCACACTAGAAAATATCTTCGACTTATAATTATTTCAAACTAACGTAAGTATGATAAAATATTCCTTATAATGATTACTAACAGCTACAAAATTAAATAATAAAAAAATATATTGATTACGCTACCTCAGCCATGCTTCCTCAGGCATATCTGTTGTTTGTAGTAGAGTCATTTTCATGAGATCCGTGACTAATTTTAGGATACCTTTTTTTCTCGATGGATTTGGCAATATGGACCAATTTAGATAAAATATAGCTCCTATATACCGGGGGGGGGGGAGAGTCCCGTTTGGGGGAATTTTTCAAAATGGCAACCTGTTGATTTGGACGCTTGTATCTCAATAACCACTGATCAGAGAGACTTGATTTTGGTCTCAAATTGTTCACAATATGCATGTTCCTGTTTGTTGTAATACAACTTTTTATCCAAAAATGGCGGGAAACGCGATTTTTTGAAAATTTGACCTTTGACCTTGTATTGTCATATCTCGGTAACTACTGGTCACAGAGACTCACAATTGATTGCAAATTGTTCAGGAGATTATGTTTATATTCGTCTTAATGAAAAAAATATTCAATTAGTGACCGGAAATGGTACATTCTGACCTTTGACCTATTGTAGTGTCATTACATGTCAAATCAACCAGATTAAAAAAAAAAAAATCCTGTATGACAGTCTCAGATTTTGATGAAATTCCATAAAAATGAGCCACTGTATGGAAAAAAAAAAAAAAAAAAAATAGCCTTTTAGGATATGTAGATTCCGAGATATTGGCTCCTCAAAAAGGGGGAGTTGTTCTTCAAGATGTGCAAACACAATTTACTTCAACTTTGGAAGCTTATAACTCGGGATTGGTAATAGCTTTCAAGGTCAAACTTGGTACTCTAACTTATTTTTCGCCATATTTCACAGTATAGACCAATTTTCCTATAGTGTACTATGCAGAGCTCTACTAATTGCTTACTAGTCTCCCTTGACAGCGAGAGATCCTGGCCTTTAATTTCAATTTAATTTTTAAACAATGATAAGGAACCTTTTGTTGATAGGCTACACAGTAAGCCTGATACAATATTTTTTACATCAATGTTTACAGTGTATTTATTCTGTTTCTACCATTATATGAATATTTATGTATGCATATATATAGGCCAACATTTGTGTGTGTCGTTTCTCTTATATACCATTTTTTTATTTTTCTAAAAATATAATGTATGTATCAATATCATTTTTCACTACAGGTTCCGTTACCTGCCCAACGGAGAATGATGTCAACATATTTACATTCAGTCGTAAAGTTGGCATATATGTCCAGTCACCTAAATCACCATATTATCGAAATGGGGCAGACATGCGCATTGACGATTTAAAACGTGTTTTTTCTATATATGTTAAAATTACGGTTCGTGGCGGAGATGGCAAAGTAAGAAGCGAAATTTCACATTTTTTTTTTATAATTTGTAAGATTTAGGCTTACTGAGTTGTAAATCTTTAGGTCTAACGAAACGGTGGAGGCGCCAGGATTTTCCCGACACGGAGGGTCCAATGCCCACGTCAGAAAAGCCGTTTTCCCCAACTGCAGCCTAAGTAAACGGGACGCGATTATTTTTTCCGTACGAAACATTTGCATGAAACTCCACTCGGGCCGTCTCGGATTGATTCGACTCGAGTTTGATATACGAACAAGAGCAGGCACTTCGCAATGTCGTGACGCTCGAGTATTCTA